GGCGGCCACTCTACATAATTGCTAGCTATTGTACGGTGTGTGCGCGCATCAAACCCCTCTGTAACTCGCTCTACGAACCCCCTGGCGTTTCCCCGGGCGAATATATCTTTTACCGCAGCTCGCGACACCCCTGGCGAGCTCTCTTGGCCATCGGATATCGAGAAACCGCCCTCTAATCGCCTCGATCGTGAAACTGACCGTCGCGTCGTCTCGAGGTTCGAGGTTCGAGCGAACGCGAGCTGGCGAAAACGGAGAATGGAAAGGGTTGTTTGCCGTTCGAAATAACCCAAGTTTGTTTGTCGGCAATCGTGTACGATTCGAGAGTGTGACGACGACGAGGCCGCGAGGGGTGGGAATGTTCAGCGGCGCGAGAAGACGAGACGCGGGAAGAGTCTCGCGAGGAGGACGAGACAGTGGGAGGAAGCAAAGTGCTCATGCAATGCAGATCGTTAAAGCATCCCCCGTTGCGCCGGTGACCCGAATGTGGCTTACGGAGACAAAGTGCGGGCCAGAAAGGTGGCGGGAAATACAGAAAGGAAAAAGGAAGAGGAAACGGACTGGGAGAGGCAGCGGCGAGTGGCCTGTTCGCTTCCTCCCTCTCGCAATTCCCTGTTTCCCGTTTACATCGTCTCGAATCTGTGCCGCGGCAAGTGGAACGTAAGTAATGCCATTCCCCGCGCAACTGGAAAATATCCTCGAACGGGGTATTTCCCCGAGTCTCTCCTTCTTCTTTTTAACCCCTTTTTTCCTGCCTTTCGTTTCGTTTCTTTTGGTCCGCGCGGCAATTCCTCGAAATATCCCCGTGACGTTTATCGTTATTGCGCCGCGACCGAACGCGCGCAATTTCCCCGCTACCCGGGAAATCAAAGATTCGAATTAACGAGTCCGCGCGCTGACCCCGTTCCCCGTTTTCATCCTCAAACCGGAACGCGGACAAGCTTATCCCTTTCTCGCCAACGAGAACCGATTTCTAGCGTCGTTACTGTCGTGGCTCGATGCCTCCTAAGCGACGCTCCTCCCAACGATCCACTTTGGACTAATAAAAGTATTCCAAGATAAATTCCAAAGACGACCGCGACAGGTTAAGCGGAACGCGATGTTTTATCGGACAAGAATTAAATTTGAGCCACGCGAAGCGTTGGTTCAACTTTTAATGCAACCGATATTGCGTTACCTGGCCGAGGAGTTTTCATCCGTGTGCTCGCGCGAACGTTGCAGGCGGTTTTGCGAAATTCAGCCTCTATTCAGGTTGTCGGCGCGTCTACGCGGAACCAAACGCTTCTGTCTAGACGTAACTTCGACCGCCGCGGCGCGGCGGGGATAGTTGCCATGGAGAGGATGGAGAGAACGGCCGATAGCCGGGCTCCAGGTGAAACGGAGAAAAATATAGGTTAGATTAGGCGAAGAGGTATTGCCGAGATCTTTGTAGCATCGAGGGTGCCAGTTAAATAAGGGCTGCGGGATCTCCGCTCTGCTTGATCCCTCCCCCGCGTGCTTCTACCACCTTTAGTTGCGGTACGAAGGAGCTCTCGTTTGTCGGAGGCGTTTCTTTCAGATTTTAAAGCCCGCTCCGCCGTTTTTCTTCTCGAACAGGATAAGGAAAATAAACGACTGAAAGAGGGACTCGACGCGCCATGCTGGTCGCGAGTATCGATATACCAGGGCCCCTTGGAACTTTCAAACAATTTAACCACCCGAAACAACCCGATCCCACGCACGCTCCAACACCGACCCGGTAGATATTAAGCCTTTCTCTGGTTTGCTGATTCCGCGGAATCGCGGCATAGCGTTTTGCTAACATTCTGACTCGCGCTGACCTACTAACGAGTCAGCGAATTATTCGTTAACGATCGATTGTACCGCTTTCGGTATTTCATAACGGCCGTTCAACCGTCTAGAAAAAAATGCAACTCCGTTCTAATAATAAAGAAAAAATATTGTCGATTACGTAGTCGACGCAGAAAGTTTGATTAAACGGAGCGAAACGTTTCGAGCAGTCATTACAGTTAGCAAACAACTATTCGTTCCTGTTGAAGTTTTCTGAAACAACCGTCCCTTACATTTCCACCGCCATAAATAAGACCGGAGTCGCGGTCGTTTAATCGCCAAGAGATACGAGACCGAGACCGAGACCGGGGAATAACCGCGAGGGTGGTACGGTCGAAGGGCTGACAAGCCAGGCCGGACATCCACTTACAATTTGTCGCGACGCGCGATTAGGCTCGCTGGGTTCCTCGTGGTTCACGGGAAGTACTGTTCGCGTACCGTTCGCGTGGCAGTTCCGAACAACGTTGGCGAATTATCGCGAATTGGCTGGAACGTCTGCGACGACGGGGCATCGAGTCGAGTCGAGCAGGAAATAGCATCCAGTCGGAGAGAAAGAGGATCCGGATAGCCAAAGGGAGACCGAGAACCGTGTATCGCGGCGATGGAACGAGGACGAGAGAACGCGGAGATGGGAGAACACGGTTCTGATTAGCATACAAACTACGCGCGACCGTGTTGGTTCTCCGCGTTTGTTCGGGACACGAACGAGTGCCGCGTGTACGTGGCCCGTATACACACGTACGGGGTGTCCAAGATCGTGATTAAAGGTACCAATGGATTTCGATCCGAGTGCCGAGCGTCGGAAAAATTTACTCTCGTCCAACGAGGCGACGACGAATAAATACAATACGAAACTACCGCCTCGATCCCTTCCCGATCGAGTTCGACGCGATCCGAGAATACCGTTTCTACGCTTTCCAACGATTTTTTTTCGGAAATTAGAACCGTCCGCTCTCGAGGGACACCCGTTAGACCGGAACGTACGCGTGTTCTCGCGCGTTAAGAGATTCAAGATCGAGGAAGAGGACGGGACACGCCGTTTACCACCACGGAAAACGACCAAGAGCCTGGGAAGAAGAACAAGAAGGAGAAATATGCCACCCACAAAGTCCGGGAACTCGGAGCGAGCGGTCGAGACGTTACGGAGCTGTAACACTTGAGATACCACGCGCGTGGACCACGATAATGGCCCGCTATTACGATAAATTGAAAAACCAGCGTAAAACAGTGACGCGGTTGTACAAACAGACCGACCTTTTGATCGGGTGTTCTCCGTTCGAAACAAATTGTCGTTCTGCTCGACGCGTGGAGAATCTTGCGCAACGATACGACGTCGAACAAGTAATAAGCAACTAATCTACCAGCCCTCTCGGTGTTCCCCGTATGATCGAGAAAGGGTGCTCGAACGACACCGTCTCGACTCCAAGTACTATCGCGCGTAAAAACGTTTTCTTTCGGGTCTCCTCTTTCTGGTCCCCGGTCTATATTATTTCAACAATTCATTCGTAACTGACAAAGGTGTTCTGGAGTCTGCCGTCGCGGGGGAAAAAGGGCGGATAAAAATCACGAGGCGCCGGTGCGAAAACGTCGCTCGAGATATTGCCAAGCGCGAACGATAATAACCGCCTATTACGATAACCGCGCGAAAAGAGGGCCAGACAGGACCGGCATTGTCGCGGCGAGTGGACCTTCGAGAGGTTTGCCCTGATAAAAATACGACACGCTCGTGGATCCTGAATGCGGGCCTCTGTACGATCCAAAATCGTCTTGGCCCGTTGCCGATCCCTCGGCCAGAGTTCATCGATCGTGGCCATCGTGGCCCGTCGCGTCTTTTTGCAGCCAGCCAGAAATTACTTGTCGTCGTTTCTCGCCAGACGGCCCCCGGGAAACAAACATTAACGACGAATAATCGACTAAATAATTATTAACCCTTCGTGCGATGCGACGAAGCTCGTTTAAATTTCAACGATTTTCAGAGCACAAAGAGGCGGAGATAAAGAACGAACGAGTTATTCGACGGAGCTTCGAATGGAAATGATCTTGAAAATAGAAAAGTTATTTTCCTATTTGACGGCATGAAAAGAAGCGCCGGCTACGAGAACGTTTCTTTTCTCCATTGTATTTCATTTTTTATTACGACGTTGCGCATAAAGCAGCACGAGACAATGCCCGAACAGAGCGAGCTCGAGGTCGCGTAAATCTTCGGTCCGCGTACCGCGGTGCATATTTCTTCCCCGTACGAGGCTCGATCTCGCGCGGATCCGCAGCCAAGTTGCTTACGCGAGTGCAGAAGGAGAGAGCCTTGTGCAGCTACCGTGTCGGAGATTATCAGTGCACCGTTGTTCCGTAGTTCGCGGCGCGTAACACCGTCTCGACGCACGCCCACTTATTCGACGGCCTATTTTTGGCTAATTTAGGATCCACCGAACGATCTGTTCCCCACCCTCGTTGCCAACGAGCGAAAGAATATGCAACGAGTTTCTCAGCTACACTGTCAAGGATTCCAACGAGCCTAGATCACGCGCGAACAACGAAAATCACTATTATTCGAAGCGAGCGACCGACTTTGGCTTCCGTAATGGTCTATTCTCGGCTAATTTATCGCTCGCTGGAATGACAATGACGTTCGCTTCCTTCCCTCGTCCAGAACTTTTCCCTTCTATTCGCGGCGCCCAACGTACCAATACTTTACAAACTTTCTAAGGCCGAGAGGCCGGATGACGAACGACCCTCTGGTTAAACCTTTCCCTGGTAAAAGAGGCAAACAGTGTCGGCAGCAGGTTCGAAGACCGCGCCGAAATGTCCCATTTTTGGCTAATTTAGTGGCCACTAGAATGCCAATGACGCTTCCTTCGCGCATTTAGCCAGCCTATTCCGCCGTTCTTTCTCCTCGTTCTCGTTCGAGAGACCCTCTCTCCGTGGATGGCCACTCGAACCCTTGAAATACGGTTACAACCCGAACGGCCTCCACCCCCCAACACCTTACGATGTCCGCTCGGAATGAAACCTAGTCTTTATTGCCGAGGGGAGACCAGCGCACCTTGGCGACCCTGAATGATTTTACGCGCTTGCGTCCACCTACTCCCATCTCGTCGACCGATTCTACCGTCCCTGTGGACGTCTGGCTACCACCGGTTGCCCGTTGGAACCGAGAAAATCAAGGTTATACTCACTTCCAGAAGACGACGGAGACGATCGCTGCCATCAGGAGCAGCACTACCGCGCAAGTGATGATCAGGGCGGTACTCTGCAACGATGGATTCGTGTGGTACGACGCATCGATCATCTGTAAAGAACGGACATGTTAGCGAGAAAGGGGTAGTTTCCGATACACCTTCGAAATTTATATTCTCGACGCTCGGGATATATTTCAAATTCACGCTTCGAAATGCATGATTCGTGTCCTTCGTGTACGCGTGCTTTACATGTTTTTATTGGACTGCTTGAAACTCACGGGACGCTCGTTAACCCGCGTCGAATCGATTCTGGCTTCGAATTTCGTTATATTTGTCGTCGTTCGCGAGCGCTTACGAGCGACGCGAGCCTATAAGCGCCTCGAAGTTCTCGTTCGCTATAGCGGATGCTGATGCATATGTGTTCGACGAATGCAAATGAACGAGCAGCTAGTATACGGACATCGCGACGGAGTACGCGCGAATCGTGCATCGACTTTGAAAGCCGCGCCAACAGGATTAATCAACGCTTCAGCGGCCCGTTATTATTAGCGGTTTCAGAAGTTGTCGGTAGAGGACCAATATAAATTGATAATAACATTGCGGCAATATTTGATATACGTTTGTTTAAAGCTGCGGGCAAATATGACGTGAAGCTTTTCGGGGTTGTGCAATGTTGACGCAACCTCTGGATTATACACGTATAGTGCACATAATTATTATTTATTATTATTAATATTACCGTTACGAATCACCTAACGCGCATTAAATTACGAAGAACTATTAAACTAGAAGTAACGTGGTAAACGATTCAATTAAAATTTTTGATCTCGTAAAGAATGTCGGGAATCGCTTCTGTTTACTGGTAAATCCAATTTAGTGAGAGGTCGAGGAGATGTAGGAAAAAGATCGCGAGTAAAACACTCGTGATTCAGGTCGAGATTTCTCCGACCCTCGTGCGTCGCGTAGAATTCATCGCGAGGGTCGCGTAGACGCGGAGTTGGCCTTGGAAAAGGGCCGGGATGCGTGGCTGATACGGGGAGGAAAGCAAGGGCGTCGGCTGGCGTCGCGTCGTTACGTGGCGCGCCTGCGAAAAGCGAAAGTGATTTTTCCGCCAAGGGTCCCCGTCTTCGGGGAAACTTCCTGGCTGGTTCCATCGTCTCCGTCGGTTCGTGCCCATTGTCGCGAGTCCTCCGGATCGATCGACGCGCATTGTGAGCGCGCGGTGACCAGACTCATTTTACCCGAAGGTGCGAGCCACGAGACGCTGAAAAGGATCGACGACGCGCTTTGGGACTGCCGATTTAATGCGTATCGATAAGCTCGGCCCCCCGCTCGACCATTATATCCGCTCGATGGGATATTCTGCCGGTTGGCGACAGGCCAGGGAAACCGTTCGATCGCGAGACAGTGCGATCTCGCGAGTGCAACGATGCTCCCTCGCAGGCTTCTCGTCGCCCGTCTTCGCTGTATCGAATCGACTATTTATGGCGACCAACCAGAATATTTACTTTAGATTCCGGACAGAGCCATTTTTCGCACCTAATCGCGCGTGGGACAGAGTTTGCTGGCAAACGAGACGTTTCGAAAATTTATGCGATTGCAATTATTCGCTTTACAATAGCGGACTACAGAAACATGCATTAATAACGTTTCATTGTTGGTAAAGAAGAGTACAATCGGTACTCGACGATGTATTGTTTGGAAAATTTTGTTACGAGATAATTCGATGCAGCAACGTTAATCTGTCGTATAATTGGAATATAATACGCGAACAATATTGCAAAGGTACGGTAATTGCAAATAAATGTAACGACGGTAAATATTTTAAGAGTTATCGTCGGTCTTTAAAGGGTTCGAACGACATTTCCTATGGTGTAAAATTTGCTTCCGTTACGAGGCGCGTTCGTGGCCGTTTAAATATCCTGTGCGACGGTAACGACGCGATCAACCGTAGAACGACATTGTTTAATATCGTTGGAGGCGCGAAAAGCTCGTTTCGCATCGAGTTCGTCGTTCATCGGGCCCCGTGTCGGCGATCGCACGCGTCCATCGATAAGTCGACTCCTCCTTCGAGTACGAGAATACACGAGCTATGGAATATTGTGGTGCGCGTTGTTTGGCGATGGTCCAAGGGAAGCAGCATTTATCAAAGGTTTCGCGAGCGTTTGTGTGCGCGTTTCGATAGGATCGCGGCCTGTCTGCACACGCGAGCACGTAAGTCCCTCTTTGCCGAGAATCATCTCCTTCCACGGGCGCACTCAGACGCGAGACTCGTCCTTCTCTCTCGCGAGATTCTCTTCCTCCTCGCGGTGGCTCATCTCTCATCATTACGGGGATATTAATGGCGTCGGCTAATGGATTCAGCCGAGCTTAGCAGCCAGTAAGAGAATTCCTTTCTCTCCGCATCATCCCGCCCTCCCCCTTTTCCCGCCTACAGTCGTTGCGTTTTTCCACTTCCGGAGGGGGGAATTTGGGAAACGATGGCAACCGTGACGACGCATCGTCCGCGATGCTCCACCGCCGCAACGATTTCGAAAGACGCGAGTCATTCCGCGAGCGGTAGCCACGGGTACCAAAATTTCAGGATCAGTACAGAAGACGAGCATACTGGAAAAGCTTGCACGCTTTTCGAACGGTTAGAAAGGGGTTTCTTTCACCGAAAAGGCTTCCGAGGTAATTAAAAAGGAGAATAGGAAACGATAGAGAGGGTGGGGGGGCGGTGTATCGGGGCGGTGCTGGAAGAAAGGATCCAATTAGCGCGTAAAAAAAGAGGAGAATGATTACGAGCTTCTAAGAACAACAGCCGAGAAAAAGGAGGAGCGGAATCAAACCGCGAACAAAGCCGATATACCTCTTGTTTCGCGTTGTTATACCTACCGCGCGATGCAACTTTAGTCGATATCGGCTCGTGGGGGGCAGCGACGGTATTCCCCACGCGAGAAACCATACGTTTCAGTCGCGCTATACGCGGTACTTACGTCTGCTCTGATTCAGCATCAGCGGAATAGAAACCCGTAACCCGACTCCGGATCCAATTAATGGAATCCTAGATGATAGCCGAACGCGTGGCTCCGCTAACGCAATAACGACCGTAAACTCCGAATGGAATTGTGGATCGCGGGAGGCTGGAAACGAGGGATGCTGTCTCGATCGGGGCATTAAGGCGGGGGTGGTGTCGCCGATGATCTCACACGGTTCTCGATTTCTTGCGACGATGAATCACCCAGCCCGGCGTAAATTCGCTAATGTATAGCACGTAATTTACTTAAACGCGGAAGCTCGGCCTAGATCTTCGAGCAAAGGGGCTTCACCGTTTCAACGAATACTTTAACGAAGCAACGTTCGCGAAATAAGAGAATCGGAATAACAAGCAAAGTTTCCCGGGGTCGGCTTCCCGTGAACTTTGAAGAGCGCATCTATCGACGAATAATAAGGTTGCGCGTGAGGAAAACGCGGTCTAGATTCGAGAAACAAATACCAATTAGACAGACTGGCACACGATCGATAGATCCGTTCGAGACAATGGCTACCGTCGCGGTATTGTTCACGGGTCGGTGTCCAGGTCTCGGGCTTCGATCGCCAAGCTATTCGATTCCTCGAAATTCCCTCGTAGTCCCTTAACCTGGAACTTTTTATTTCCTCGAAACGAAAACTCCGATGGCCACGGCGAGCAGCTTCGAAACGTGCCCCCAATGACGAGATTGTGACAGAGAATAACAAACCCGTCGCGTTTACAGTGTAGGGATCCGTCGGGTGCGTGTTCTGTTTGGGATGAGCACGTGTTCGGCGTGTCTAAATGCGTCCTCGTTGACGTTAAACACGTCTGGGCATCTACCTTGCATCTAATTCCGAAGTAAAGTACGTTGTTAAACAGGACGCGTCGCGCAGTTTCTAATTACACGGCTGTCTTGAGCGGGACAAAGGCGGATGTTTGAGAGGTTATTAAAAGCGTCGGTAAAGAAACAACGGCTCTAGTTTACGATCGGTGTCTGGAGAACGTTGGTGAAAAATTAAGAACCGTGGGAGGATCGAGATCTTCCGGGCAGTCGAAACGCAAGGGAAAAGAGCGAAACGGAGGTCGCGTATAGGCACCATTTGACCGTGGATCGGATGGTACACGTAGCCCTGAATTATCAGATCGTTCGGCGACGCAAAGGCGGTCTCTCGGTGGTTTCGTTCCTGTCGAGTTTCGGGCTGAGCAGACACAAACGGTTACGTGGCATCTTGATTCCGCGGCAGCGTCTCTCGATTAATTAGCGTGCCGTGGTTAATGAAGCCCGGTCGAACAACCGAACCAAAGGGGCTCGGAGTTCGAGGGTTCGCGGGGGCCACGGAGAAAACCAGAGGGATCGTCTGTCTCCGCTCTCTCGACCCCGTGCAATCGATATCGCGTAATGCGATCTCGCCGGACCAGAGCGCGCGGATATTATGTTCGCCGAGCTGCGCGTATCGACTAGGCGATGGCTGGCGAGAGTAGGAGGGGGGCCCATGAAATTCGAAAAGCGCGCCCCATTCCGAGTATAAATAACCGATCGCGAACCCGGTGTAACGTATATTTTAATGTCACCCCCCGTTCCGCGACGTATTCTCTCGCCGCTTAAAACGCTTGCCGTCGCTTCCCAAAAAGCTTCTCCTCATTTATCATGCGAGTGATTCAGCGCCCGAAACGCTGCTATTCCGAATTTCACTTGATTCCGGTTATTAATGGATTCGCGCTGCCCCGTATAATTTCCGCGTTCGATGCTGCGCCGCCTCCGTTCAACGACACCCGCGAAAAATCGACAACGCGTAATAATAACACATCCCCGAAAACCTTTCTACACCGTACGAGATGAACTTTATCTACGAAGCAACGTGGAACGGATCCAGGAAAAAATTGTTTCCGTTTTTTTTTTCCTTGGCGCAACGTGGCGTAACGTTAATCGCCCCCGCGCTGGAATTTCTGCCGGTCGAAATAAATATGCGCATACCGCGGTTGAGACTTGTTCGTCAAACGCGTATGAACATGCATGAGCCTGTAAAACATTCGATTTGCCGGCGAAACATTAACATGAACGGCACGTTCGCGACAATAGCGAGGGACGAAACGGTCGGGGGGGGTGGGTTAGGT